ATACATAATATTTAGGTGGTTATGGTAAGAGTTTGTGTGAAATGAACTTCAAAGGATGTACATGGGATGGAAATAAAAGAAAATGCAAAGTTACTTATGAACGTTTGCTATATTGTTAGATTGTTTTACTTTACCCCTTGGAAAACTTTCTTTCCTTTTTCATTTATATATTTGCCGCTGGATATGTGAAGTGCTTATTAAATTTTATTGTTATAATGGATATTGTCAGATAAATTTTTAAGAAAAATAAATAATCTGGATGGTCATATATTTTACACTCATAGTTCATAACCCTGCTTTAGAAAACAGGGCATCCAGGAAATCCATTCAGAGAAATCTACTATTCATTGAAGTGCTTTCAAGCTCTAAAAAATGCAAGTGTCGAGCATAGTTAATAGTTTCTGGGTGAAGAGATTAATGCACGAAACGCGTATACTATTACGAAAATTATTCCCTCACAACATTAATAAAGTGAAACAAAGCACCTTCAGCACCTTATACAATTAATGTCACCTTATCATATCAATGACTAGTAAGTTATGCAAACTATCAAACAGTATGCGCGCCAAGTTTTTCACAAGATACCTAAATTAAATAGCATGGCGTTCATGAATTACAAGTGTTTGTGCCATCAAAATGGAAATGACCAGCGGACTTAATCAGGCTTTTCGTACAATTACTCGTCTTTCCCGTTTGTATTCAACTTCATCTCTTTGGTGCATTATCAATAAGGCCCTTCGAACCTGAAACAAACATCAATCGACAAACGACATTAGATTACAGCAAAGATGTCTTATTCTGAACCGGCAAAAATTTTATGTTCCTTACAATAGATTCATTCATGCCCATCCTGGTGAGCTCATCAATCAGCCGCCTCTCAGATATATGGCTCCCGATTCCCATTCTTCTCTTTATCTGAGTTTCCACTTGCTGTACCATTTTCAGAAATACAAATATGTTAAAAATAATAATAGTATTGCGTAGTTCAGATTAAGCACGTCATTAGAGCCACAATGTTCCCACCTTTATCTCGTTTGCTAGTTCTGGAGTGAGGTTTATGTGTTGGTTAATTCCAGAACGAGCTGCATCCATTGTGGCATTGTTGAAGAGTCTCATGGCTTCCATAACATGGTTATCGTTTGCAACATGAGACCTAATTATAAATATAATGGAAAAGGAAAAAAAAATGAGCTATGAGCAAGAAAACTAAATTACTAAGGTAAACAAATACAAATACCCAAAAACACATGTAGTAGGAAGTAATATAAATATCTGCATTATCCTGAATTTCTTCCATTCCAAACAACCACAGCAGCTTTATTTAATGCGGAAATGATTCACGACGGCTTCAATACCAATATTCCTCAAAATTGCATTTTCGCACTCACCGAGCCAACAAAAAAGCCATCCAAGAAAATAATATGCTTTGACCTATGGTTGGAAAATTAGTTTGTTGAAAAGAGCATTTTGATACAGAATGACAAATAGTCTGGATCATGTTTAGATTAGAAAAGAGAGCTTTTTCAATAAGAACTCGGGAGGAATCATCGCCATTCATTACCTTCTGAAAGTCTGTAATCCAGAATGTGACTTTTCAAACAAGAGATAACAATAAGTTGAGCAGATAGTAACTTACAGTGTCATCTTAGCAAGTGCTTCACTCAATCTCACAATAGCTTCCAACTGCCTCACGGTAATTGGTATAGCAGCTGCCTCCCCAGTCTCATTTGCTTGCCTTCTCATGTCCTACAAGAGGGATTATTAACGATCTCATGGATGTCAAGTACATCAACCAAACGAGCGAATTCCAAACTACTTGCCACTGCCTCTCTAGTTTTATTAGTAATAACACACTTCTCAAACTACTAAGAAACATAACAGTATGGCCACTCAAAGGATCAAAATAAATGTTATGAGGAAAAAATATGACTGCACGTGTTCATTTGCATGCTCACAAAATGCCAAGATTATTAAAAAAAAATCAGATTCTGGACATAAAATAATTAAAAGTATTAAGTTCAGTAGCTAAAGTTGAGACTTGAGTTAAGTGAGAATATTGCTCCACTTGGAAAAAAAGATGATATCGTGTACAAAGGTGTATGGAACCGACATTCAGAAGGGTTTTTCAGTTTTGGCAACTTTTTTTCTTGAAATGCATGGCAACCCACCTGGTTGGGTAAGAAATAAATTATTTAAAAATAATAGGAAGAACTTCACACTGTTATTATGATAAGGTCTTGAAATCATGGCAAGATCAGTAAAAAGATGTTATCATTCCTAGTTGTAGTTCATTTTGCACTTCACAGACTCAGTCAATATGACAAGACATGCATACAGGCACATGGGAGAAATTCAACATTCAACAAACATTAAATCCTTAACATTAAAATAATAAAACCAAAACTGCTACACCACTGCAAAATATATAATCACAGTGTGAGTCCCAGTATTAAGCATCATGATACCTGTCTAATCTTTACATAGCTCTCCTGCAACCTAGAAGCTGCAGATTCCGACAAGCGAGGATGACATTCAGTTCGACAATAGTGTATATACCTGAGAAAAGTAATTCAGATATTTTAGTGAAGGAAATCCATCATTTAAGCAACCATAAATCGTGGGGGAACTGGGAAAAAAAAAGCACAGGATCATAGTTAAGTAGAGACTTCTTCAGCCAGTTATCCTCTTTGGAAGTCCTTGCCTCGCTTGTAGCAGCATCAGCAGATGCATGAACTTTGATGATGTGGCTAGCAATATTCTGCCAATGCATCACGTTTAATTAAATTCTATGCTTAGTCCCACTATTAGCATTCTTAATGAGCATGGTCAGAGCAGAATGCACGGTGATCTATATCCAAACTAACCAGAAAACATTGAAAAAGAATCCATCCTTCTCTTATGTGGAACATATTGGCGTATAAACTATCATAAGACACTTCAAGACTATCGTACCTTGTCTTGTGCGTACATCTTGATATCTTTCACAATGAAAATTAAATCGAATCTGGAAAGAATTGTGGTCTGCAAATCAATGTTGTCTTGAGCCGTCTGAAAAGCAATTAACAGTTGTTCAGTTTCTCCAACAGTCTAGACATGTATAACAGAAATAAAGTGATAATGAAAGTAACTAGAAAAGAAAGGAAAAGGAAAGGCTTTTGGACCATGAGATCGTCATAACGGCCGGATGGAGGGTTGGCTGCAGCAAGCACAGAAGTCCTTGAATTGAGAACAGTTGTTATTCCTGCTTTAGCAATGGAAATCGTTTGCTGCTCCATTGCTTCATGAATGGCAACCCTAGACAACAAAGCATAATATCTTTTACGGTTTTACCTAATTGTTTGACCATTACAACTAAATGGACATTTCTAATTCAAACTAATATTTGCAAAATCCCTAACCTGTCTTCTGGTCTCATCTTGTCAAATTCATCAATGCAAACGACGCCTCCATCTGCCAAGACCATAGCACCGCCTTCCAGATAAAACTCCCGCTAAATTATCAAGGTAAGGAACCCATTAACACTTATAAGAATTAGAAGATGATTAATATCTTAAGAAGTACCAAAGAGATACCATGAGATGCAGCACTAATAACAACTCAACATAGATGTCAAAGATGCTTAAACTTACTGAACTGTTGTCGCGAATTACAGAAGCAGTCAGACCGGCAGCGGATGATCCTTTTCCAGAAGTATACACAGCTACTGGAGCAGTCTTTTCAACAAACTTGAGAAACTACATGGCGAATATACACTAACTCAGTAACTTATGTGTGTTTGGGTTAGAGAGAGTAAAATCCTATTATATTCATATGCTTGATTCAATATCCAGATGTAGCAACCAAAACTATAAAGATTGCACCAACCTGTGATTTGGCTGTGGATGGGTCTCCCAAGAGCAGTACATTGATGTCACCTCTTAATTTTACACCATCAGGTAACGTCTACATCAAGCAAGGGGTAACTATTTAAGGTAATTAATCCCAGAAAATAGAACCAGTCTCAAACAACAGACCATTAACATACCTTCCTGGAGCCACCAAATAGAAGGCAGGCAATAGCCTTCTTCACGTCGCCATGACCAAATATTGATGGAGCAATCTTGGAACATATTTGCTCATATGCAGTACTATCTGAAGCAAACTTTTTGAACTCTTCAATCTGAATAGGACAAAATTTATTAGTTTGATTATCTTTTTCTGGTCTAAGTTCACCAATATATAATGAAACATAAAATCAAACCCTACAAGGAAGAGAGATGTTTTGTTGAAGTAGAGAAACAACACTAGAACTAAAATAGTCACCTCATCTCTAGTGAAATTAGTTGGGCCTCGAGAATTTGACTCTGTACTTTCTTCGAGACCAACAACTCTGATGTACGGCTGCCTAACTGCAACTGCTCCTTTGTGGCTGCACAAAATAATCAATAAGCTTACAACCCTCAAGTGGGCAGTATATATTTCCTAATATGTATAAAGGGCCTTACGTAGTTGATGAGCTTGCAGCTTGAAAGATACTGTAAATGCCCATAATGGTCAATCTTGTGCCAGGAACTATTGTTTGCACAAGATGGCGATCAACAGAGAGAAGCATGTTTCTTGGTAACTCTCCAGTTGGCACATCCTTGAATTTCAGAAGATCAACATAAATATTAAAGTTGTTGCAAAACTTGTAAAAAGTGAAACCTTTTTAGCCTAACAGTGCAGATACAAGTAATGACAGCCTATGGTTGGTGAATTAAAACGATACTCACCTCAGGATTTTCCTGCAATTTCAGCGTTTGCTGATCAACGTACTTGCTTTTGTCAGGAACAACAATCCAGGGATCAATCGGGCATGGATCCTCCCCGGGCTACAAAAGTTCAATGAGTTACAAGACATGAAGAAAACAAGAAAAAAAA